ATGAAATAATCCATCATCAAGTTAAACTGCTTGAAACACTTTGTAAGTGGTCCTGCAATGACAGATCAGGTGCAACAAGATGAATGAGGCTGGAGTGTATTTAAAGTGACACAGTGAATCCACTCTAATCAGGTTCATCAGTTCTAATTCACTTATATCTGTTTTGGAGTGGTCCATCTCTCTCGTTTATTTCAATGGCTCTCTTACACCTCCAATATAACTCTCAATTAGCTGCTGAGGAAGGGAATGCAGTTTGACATCGCCACAACTGAACTCTGCACTTTCCCAATCTTTCCGCGCAGACACAGGGCTATACGCTTTTTTAACAAGGCTCCGTCTTCTTCCCGGCAACCTCAATTGCTTGTTTATTACCAGGTCACAAAAGAAGAGGAACACCTCTACAAATTAATTAGAGGTGTTTTGAACTGCAAAGATATAATTCACTCTTCAGGTACATTATGGAGCAAAACCAGTTAACGGGACGTTTGCTCCTCCATCCCCTTCCATTCTTCAACAATAAAATTTAATTGGATAGACATCATCCATCTGGATAACGAGCTTGAGACCCAAAAGTCTCCGACTTACAGCTGTTGTTACTACCTTGGTTGGCAGTAGGTTGCCAGCAAGCATAGAAATGAAATGGGCTCATTATGTACTTGCAGAATGTGCTATACTTTAATAATCCACTTATTAAAAAGAGGGTGTTTTGTTTTCTTTTTTGCTATTTATTAAAATTGCATTCCTCTTCTTCACTCACATTCTTTTTGCATGCTCACTCACAACTCTCCTCCCCGCCCCTGGTTGACAACTGGGATTGAAAATTGGCCACAACTTTATTGATTACAGATGTATGTAGGATTTGGCCCAGGCATTGGGTGCATACCCATTATCAGCCTCCAGATGGAGAGCTGAAGGGGTCATGAATGGGATATGGACCACGTCAAGATGCAGCGCCAATCTGGTGGAACGCTCTGTCACAAGAGACTAGGGCCCTGCGGGACTTGACATCTTTCCGCAGGGCCTGTAAGATAGAGCTGTTCCACCAGGCCTTGGGTCAGGGTGCAGCCTGACTCCCTCCTCTGGCAATCTGCACAGAATTTTGCTTAATGGTTGCCATTAATTTGATTTTAATTAATTTTTATAATGAAATGGTTTTAGAATGTTGGATTATTTGATTGTTGTTAGCCGCCCTGAGCCCAGCTTCAGCTGGGGAGGGTGGGATATAAATAAAATTTATTATTATTATTATTATTATTATTATTATTATTATTATTATTATTTCAGTTACTACTCTTCAGTTGCAGGTTTCTAGACTAGACGGTAAATGCTTAGCTTATTTTCAGTTCTTTCACTTCAGTTCCTCAGCTTAATTACATAGGTGCTGCAGCTTAACACTTTGGTTCTTAAAAAAGGGGTTACTTTCTGTCAGATTCCCAACCTTCTAACAATCACACTCCTGAAGTACTTTGAATAGTATAGCAGACCTAGTGGATCACCACACCCCTCTTAACTGGTTAGGGTGTCTTCTCTTTCTAGAAGATCACTCCGCTCCTGACTAAAACGAGACCCATGTAGACTGTATTCTTACAGCTCTGCTCCTCCTTGCTCAAACTCAGCCCTCCACCTGTCTGAATACTCTCTCAAGACACTACAATCTAAGCTCAGAGTCTCCTTTCCCTAGTGGTAGATTTTGTCCTCGGAGTGGATGCTATACAGTGGTGCCTCGCAAGATGAAAATAATCCGTTCCGTGAGTCTCTTCGTCTAGCGGTTTTTTTGTCTTGCGAAGCAACCCTATTAGCGGATTAGCGGATTAGCGCTATTAGCGGTTTAGCGGTTATTAAAGGCTTAGCGGCTTAGTGGCTAAAAGGCTATTAGCGGCTTAGCGGCTTAGAAAAAGGGAGGGGGAAGCGAAAAAAATCGCAAGACTCGAAAGACGTTTTCGTCTTGCGGAGCAAGCCCATAGGGAAATTCGTCTTGCGAAGCGCATCGAAAAATGGAAAACCCTTTCGTCTAGCGGGTTTTTCGTCTTGCGAGGCATTCGTCTTGCGGGGCACCACTGTACACAGATCAGAGCCAACTCTCTAACTCTCTCCACCAAACAATCTGAACCATCTCTCAGAAAATGCTCCTTTTATTTTCTCTCCCAAAGTGCTGGCTCCATGCTCCTCTGGCTAGCTGTCTTGGTAGCCAATCAGAAAGAGGCTCCAGCAGTTAGGTGGAGTTCCAACATACTGCATCACCAGATTATGGTCTAGCTAGCTCAGCTGTCCGTCATACCAGTCTACCTGCCACATTCTGGATTAGTTGTAGTTTCTGAGTCACCTTCAAGGTTAGCCCCACACAGAGCGCATTGCAGTAGCCCAAATGGGAGATAACCAGAGCATGTACCACTATGGTAAGACAGTGTGCAGGCACATTTGTGGCCTAGAATATTCTGCAGCACAGTGGGGTTCTGTATCCAATCTTCAGGCATTCCTCAATACACTATTCAATCTGGAAAGTAAATAAAAATAAAAATTGAACACTACTGTTCCAGACAGAAGATAGAAGCCTGGAAGTTTACTTCTTTGCACAAATATCTAGTATCTGTACATGATACACACATGTTAGATATCCCCTTTTAGATTTATATATAACCAAGGGAATGTTGTTGTTTCCCACATGTTGCAATTACTATTCAATGGAAGTAAAACCGTGGCTTGTTTATTTTATCATACGTCAATTAAAATTTGGTAAGGCTGCAAAAGTTCAAATAAAAGAAAAACCACCCAAAGGCACTATATTTTCCCATGTCTTCCTGAATCAACTTTACCCTTCATTCTCCACCTATCAATGCTCAATCCAGAGTCAGCCAGTTCCTTTTGCCAGTTCTCTGTAAACAGAAGCCCTATCAGGTTGTCAGTTAAGCTATGGAGAAATTGCCAGAGGAGGTGAAATTAACAAAATCTAAATGAAATTGACATGCCTGCTGTTAGAATGACAAGAGAGCACACTGATTGCTGCATCCCTGTGGTAATTAATGGAGTGTCCAGCAAACCAATACTGACTAAGGGACTGGGAAAAGAAGGAAGAGACTACACCTTACAACTCAACTAATTAACCTGCTTGGGGAGAGGGAGGAGCAAGCACAAAGTTTATAGCTTTAAAAGCAGAAAGCAGGTGAGCAATTAATTAAGTAACCTGTGGAGAAGGCAGTGCAAGCAGAAAAGAACACAATTAGTGCATCTTCCAATTTATCACATGCACACACACCTTATAAATTAACACCACATGAAACAGCATGGTTGGCAGCCTGTGAATATTTGTGTGCATAAGCACTGGAAATTCTATTTGAACCATGGAAAGATGTATATATGTAGAGAAGAGATTCTGTTCTTCATGGGGAAGAAGCAATTACTCTTCTATAGACATGCTGCCCATTTTTTTAATATATATTTCCACTGTGAGGTTACCGCCAGTTCTGTTGTGTGGAATCCTGATTGATTGTCTCAAACTTTCCTTACATCTGATTCTTTCAGGTTTACTTTCTGCTGGGGGGAAATAAAATTGGCAGGTTGGACACACAACCTGTTGCACAAGCCAGGACAGAGGTGCATTGGGGGAAAGGGTTGAGTGTTCATCAGAAGAACACAACAATGTAAAAAGAGCCTACTGGATCATGCCAATGGTTCATCAAGTCCAGCATCCTTTTCTCATAGTGGCCAACCTAGCAGGATCCAAGCACAAGTATTATTTATTTATTTCAATTTCATAAAAATTCTACACCACTTATTGTTGTTGTTGTTATTGTTTTTTAAAAAACTAATTAGTGTCTCTGACTACAGAGACAGAGCATAGCCATCATGACTAGTAGCTATTAATGCAAATCCAAGTGATAAATTGGTCAGCACTGCATTCCTGGCAAAATGATGCAGATTCTCAAACTGCAGCTAGTGAAAACACTCAACGTCTGTCAATTGGCTCGTTAGTATAAAGCACATCAGTTTGCACAGCCACTTTTATAACAAGTTACACACACACACACACACACACACACACCAAGGAGCAAAGGAACTCTGGATGTGCAAAGAAAAGAATCTGCATAAGAATTCTGCATGGACGTAAGTTTTGGGGAAAGCAGGGTGGGGACTGCAATGGTCCAGGCTGATATTTTCAGGGGGAGGCTTTGAGGGGTTGGGTGAAACAGCTGAAATGGGGGACGGGTTGACTTATATCACCAGGTGTTGTTTTTGTTTAATAAATAGTTCTAAGTCTAAGTTCAAATCTCCTCCTCCTCCAAAAGTTTGCACAGTCACATACTCTCAACAGAGCAGATACCTGCATCAAAAATGGACAAGGGAAACACCCTATGGAACAGGACAGTGAAACAGAGAGAGAAATTTTGGTTCTGTACCACAACTGATAGCCCTAAAAAAAAGGAGAGAATCTGGATGAAAGTCTGAAATAAATCCACTCAATTGATTATTAAGTTCATGATCATGTACCTCCATGAGATATACAAATATGTGAGAATTTTCCACATAGCAGATAGAGTATGCTTTCTTTCATTCATTCATTCCAACTCTCCTTTTCTCACTAAGGACGCTGAACAGGTAACAAGTCCAATTAATGAACAACAGTTAATCAAACAATACAACAAAATTTATAGGAGGTATAACCTCAAATGTCAACACTTAGGATCCAAGAAATCTTGCTGGGGGGGGAGGGGAGATGATGAAACAGGTAGGTTCCCCTTGCGTTATAACATGTACAGAAATCAACTAAAAATAGATACTACTAGCAAACATACATTTGAATTAGCCACCCATTCAAGAACAGATTCTTGATACCATTGCTGTATCATCTCAGTAACGTTAATGGGATTACTCAGTTCAGAATATATATCTGGAAGCATTTTTATTTTGAAAAGTACACATCTCGGATTCATTGCAATTCATGTAACCGAAAACCACAGCAGCACCCCATCAACACCTCCAATTGAATATTAAATCTATCTTACCTACTAGTTGGCTTCCAATCTGTGTAGAAGTGCCTTTTGAGATGGACACAGTCACAGCAAAATAGTCCTTAATGGGTGCAAATGGATGAAGAAGGAGCGAGCAGGGTGTTCAGTCAAAAATAGAATCCTTTCAGATAATCTGCTGAACAGAAAATAGCCAAAATTATTATCATCTTCATTCTTTGTTTTATAGCAGCAAAAAGTTCAACCAATCCAGAATTCTCTACCCAGCAGCGACCAGCCAGAATTCTATCTATGCAAATTCTGCTATCAGCTTTCCTGCTCTGCACCCCCAGGAATAATGCGCGGATCAGAATGTATGGCACAATTCTAACCAGGTTGACTAAGAAGAAAATTCCCATTTAATTTATTGGAGCCTACAGCTTGGCAGGTGTGCTGTTTACTCCTGGGCAAGTGTGGCGAAGTAATTAGAGGTGCCAGACTAGGACCCAGGGTTCAAATCTGCAGTATGTCTCTGTATAGCAGCCAGGAGGGGGTTATTGCCTACAAGCATCCCTTGAGGGTTTCCTGAAGGCACATTGCTCAGCCACTGTGATCCAGTAATGTTCTTATATTTGCTTTGCATTTACACTTCCAGTATCTGAAGAAGTGTGGTGCATGCACACAAAAGCTTATACAAACAAACTGAGTTGGTCTCTAAGGTGCTAAGGTAAAGGTAAAGGGACCCCTGACCATTAGGTCCAGTCGTGGCTGACTCTGGGGTTGTGGCGCCCATCTCGCTTTACTGGCCGAGGGAGCCAGCGTACTGTCATGTGGCTATGACTAAGCCGCTTCTGACGAACCAGAGCAGTGCACGGAAACGACATTTACCTTCCCGCCGGAGCGGTACCTATTCATCTACTTGCACTGGCGTGCTTTCGAACTGCTAGGTGGGCAGGACTCTAAGGTGCTACTGGACAATTTTTTATTTTTATTTCACCCCTGACTTCCAGCAAAGTCAGGGGTGGGAAAACCTACTGCTCTCCAGAAGCCTCGGAGAGCTTGTGTCCAGGATACCTTAAGGACCACTTGAACTCTTATATCTCAGCTCGATTGCCAAGATAATCTGGAGGAGTGCTGTGAGTTACTCTGCACGTTACAGAGGCCCAACTAGCATCCACTAGAAGTCAGGCTTTTGTGTGGAGCCCAGCAGAGATCCAGCAGGCAGCCTCACTTTTGACTTTCTTGAAGACCTTTTTGTGTCGACAGGTCTTCCCAAATGTTTCATTTTATTGGCCAGTCAACTTTAAAAAAAAATGTTTGGTATTTTTAAAATGCTTTAATGATGTCAACTGCCCTGATATTTTATGATATGGCAATACTGAGTTATTGCTTTGCAAATAAATATGCTGTTGAAGTCCCGCTCCCTGTTGGTCCCAGTATGGCCAATAGTTCAGGGATAATAAGAGTTGTACTATCATCTATCTATCATCTATCTATCTATCTATCTATCTATCTAATCTATCTATCATCTCTCTCTCTCTCATCTATCTACTTCAGGGATAATTAGAGATGTACTCTACCAATATCTATCTATCTATCTATCTATCTATCTATCTATCTATCTATCTATCTATCATCTATCTATCTATCTATCATCTATCTATTTTGGGGGGTGTTCCAGGGATCCCAGACCTGTTTAAAGTCATACCTTAGAGAGAAATAAAGTTTCAATTGGATAAACCTGATTGCCACTAAAAACAGATAATACCAAAATCACATCTGTACCTTTGTGACATTACTGTTTCTTCTCCACTCTCTAATTTTGTAAATGTAACTAGATATTCAGGCCAGATGGGCACCAGCCTTTCCCTGGCCATTCAGGACAACTACAGCACTTTTATTTGAAGAGAAATCTGTGAGCAACCCCCGATGCAATTTGAAATGGAAGGAACATCAACACACTTTGTTACATGTTCAGGAAGGAACTCTTTCCAACTGATAGGCTACCAGCTCTACAGGATCACTCTTCTAATGAGATTCGTTCTCAGCTGGGTTCCCCAAGTAACCCAGTTAATGTATTAGAAAATCATAATGAGTTGAACTCTTGGTATTACTTTAAAAGGGGGGGGGAATGTGAAGCTTTTCTGAGGTGCTGAATTGGGCTCATAATCCCTCACTGGACTGGTTCCACCTTAGGAATTTATCACCATCCTATTTTATTTATAAAGCACCCAAATTACTAGGCACGCTGTACGATAAATTTATAAAAGGCCATTTTCCTGCCTGCAGGAATACAGTGTAAAATTGACTGACACAATAGGAATGGTCAGAGGAGTGGAGGGTGGGGTGAGGAAAGGAAGAGAAAAGAAGGGATTCTGTGGAAGGTGTTTGTAGAATTTGTACTGTTAAAATGGAAAGGGGTCAAACCATCACAAGAGGTGTTGAAATTTTGGGAGGTTAGATAATTACAATGGAATGGTCTCGGTGGTGGAGTGAACCTCTTTATTCTTATTTCTTTATGCTTATTACATAATAATAATAATAATAATAATAATAATAATAATAATAATAATAATAATTGGAATGCACACAGATTGTGCATAGTTACTGGACTGCACTGAGGAATTAATAATGTTGGGGCAATTATTTTTATGGAGGTATGTTTATTTAGCTCCCAAATAAAATAGATTTAAGCAAGAAGAAAAAAAGAAGGGATTCTGAAACAAAAGTGGGGAAAAGGATAAAAGAGAGAAAGGAGTGCTTCAGAATTTAAAGGAAGAAATGTGGCACAGAACAAGCAGGGTGGGTTTTTTAAGAGGTTATATCTATATTTATATATCTATATATAGATATATCTGTCTGCATATTATGGAGGGGGATGGGGTCCAGATGGCTGCTGACCATACTTCTTTCTGATCCCCCATCTACCTTACAGATAGGTACTTAGTGGACACACAGCAGTCATGTCCCGTAACTCTTAAGATGTTTTCATAGTATATTACTATGGTTTCACATTGTGGTCTAAATGATCCTTTGGGTCTCTTCAAACTCTGCAGTTTTATGATTCTATGCTTTGAGGAGATTTTGTTTTTTCCTCTGGTATTGTAGTCTTTTAATTACTCTGTGTGTGTGTGTGTGTGTGTGTGTATGTGTGTGTGTGTGTGTGTGTGTGTGTGTGTTGTGGTTGTTAATAGCAATAATAATAATTTGATTTATTTTACTTGCCTTTCACCACGAGGTGCTAAGACACATTGGAACACTTTAAAAACACAATACAGTGGTACCTCGGGTTACAAACTTAATTCGTTCTGGAGGTCCGTTCTTATGCTGAAACTGCTCTTAACCTGAGGTACCACTTTAGCGAATGGGGAGTCCCACTGCCGCCAGACTGCCGGAGCACAATTTCTGTTTTCATCCTGAAGCAAAGTTCTTTATTTATTTATTTATTTATGATGGCTGCCAGCTTAGATAGCTTTAAAAGAGGATTAGACAAATTCATGGAGCAGAGGGCTATCAGTGGCTTCTAGCCACATTGGCTGTGCTCTGCCTTCACAGGCAATGCTTCTGAATATCAGTTGCTTAGAAACTTAGGAGGGAAGAGTGCTTTGTGCTCAACTATTACTTCCAGGATTCCCTCAGGCATCTACTAGGGACGCGGGTGGCGCTGTGGGTAAAAGCCTCAGCGCCTAGGGCTTGCCGATCGCATGGTCGGCGGTTCGAATCCCTGCGGCGGGGTGCGCTCCTGCTGCTCGGTCCCAGCGCCTGCCAACCTAGCAGTTCGAAAGCACCCCCGGGTGCAAGTAGATAAATAGGGACCGCTTTCTAGCGGGAAGGTAAACGGCGTTTCCGTGTGCTGCGCTGGCTCGCCAGAGCAGCTTTGTCACGCTGGCCATGTGACCCAGAAGTGTCTCCGGACAGCACTGGCCCACGGCCTCTTGAGTGAGATGGGCGCACAACCGCAGAGTCTGTCAAGACTGGCCCGTACCGGCAGGGGTACCTTTACCTTTATTACTTCCAGGATTCCCTCAGGCATCTGGTTGGCCACTGTGAGAATGGGATGCTAGATTAAATGGGCCATTGGCTTGATCCAGCAGGATCTTATGAAATTGCATCAAGTGCAGATGGTTGCAGCTAGTGCTTTTGGCCTGAACATGCTTGCACTGCAGATGACTCTTGAGGTATAGATGATGCTTGAGGTCCCTTCCAATTCTACAGTTTTCTGATTCTATGGATCAGGTGCGTGAAGCTCTGACCTGGTTGCCAGCTTATTACCAAGCTAAGTTGAAATTCCCAGTAGTGATGTATGGAAGTGAGAGCTGGACCATAAAGAAGGCTGATCGCTGAAGAATTGATGCTTTTGAATTATGGTGCTGGAGGAGACTCTTGAGAGTCCCATGGACTGCAAGAAGATCAAACCTATCCATTCTGAAGGAAATCAGCCCTGAATGCTCACTGGAAGGACAGATCGTGAACCTGAGGCTCCAATACTTTGGCCACCTCATGAGAAGAGAAGACTCTCTGGAAAAGACCCTGATGTTGGGAATGATGGAGGGCACAAGGAGAAGGGGACGACAGAGGACGAGATGGTTGGACAGTGTTCTCGAAGCTACCAGCATGAGTTTGACTAAACTGCGGGAGGCAGTGGAAGACAGGAGTGCCTGGCGTGCTCTGGTCCATGGGGTCACGAAGAGTCGGTCACGACTAAACGACTAAACAACAACAACAAGTTGAAATTATTAGTGTATAAAGCCGGAAACTGCCAAGACCAAGTTACCTGAAGGACTAAGGTCAGTACTTTGGACAGCTATTTGTTAGGAATGCACTTGCTCCAGATTTCCTGCAGGAGACAGACTAGTTGACCTACAGCAGCGGTTCTCAACCTGTGGGTCCCCAGCTGTTGTTGGACTACAACTCCCATCATGCCTGAGCTCTGGCCTTGCTAGCTAGGGGTGATGGGAGTTGTAGTTCAACAACAGCTGGGCACCCACATATTGAGAAAGGCTGACCTACAGGATCCCTCCAATTCAGTGATTCTACAGCAGGAGATTATTTGTGTTGCATCTGTCCATGGTGTTTGCCTTGTCTAACTTGCTTTGACTGCTTCAGTACAGAGATCTGTAACAGCAAGCACACCATGCAGTCTGGTTGGGGATTTTGTTCTCCTAACTTACACACTAAACAAGGAATAACCTTGTT